ATGTCTTGAAAAATGTATTGCTTGTTTTGAAATGGAATGGAAAAAGTAGTTTATTTGGATTTTCTACTAATTTAATAGATTTATTTTTAATTCATGTATAAAAGTGTCCCGATATGACGTTCAAAATACGGTTGTCAATCAATTTAAATAGGCGGGACAAAATGTCATTGGTATCCAATGTACAAAGTGTTAAATAGCGGTGATGCTTAAACACATCGAATTACATTGTCATGAATAAATGACAATGTTGTATAGACAACAAAAGGGCCTACTACATAATCAGATTGTTTAATCCTAATTCAAAATAAAGATGAAATTGACAAGCAGCTTTGTAACCACTGTCATGTTGTTGGGTGTGTTATTTGTATTACTTTTATATTTCAGAGTTTATTTTCAACTTTGGTTTAGTTTAGTTTAAACATACTGTATTTGCTCAAAGCAAAAAGGATCAGACACAAGTATATCATACTTTTAAAATATTCTCCACAATACAAAATATATATAACAATACAAATTAAACGTGAGCATGCATTATATAAAATAAACAACATAAATATTGCTAAACTATACTGAAAAGGAGAGGGAATGAAGAAAGAACGACAGAGATTAGGATGATGATGATAATGATGATGATGTGCGTTTTATCTATGTTGATACTATACTACGAGGAATCGTTTTGATCTCTTTATAAAATTGAATACTTGTTTAACAATTTGCACATTTTGATCATAGGAAAGAGTTTCTTTTCCAAAAACCAATAGTTTTAAGTCCAAATCGCAGCTTTCGGGAAGCCAACTGAGACTATTAAAACAGAATAGCCCTTTCATTCAGATAGAAAGGACAATCAAAGAAAAAATGGTGCATGTCTTTAATATCCAAACCACATTTACATGTTGGATTAGATATAATGCAAGCTCTAAACAAGTCACAATTCAAGAAGGATGCCGACCATCTAAATTGGGTTAAGATTATATTCAGTTTTCTTGGACCATATAAATAATGATTGATTCTCATTTCGAATGTCGTGGTGTTTTAATTCTACTTTGAATTTTGATTTCGAACTGACATATTCAGATTATTCCAAAGTTTAATTGTTGATGAGATAAATGATTGGGATGTCAGTGTCAGCCTGCAAAATGGTAAAATAATATCTTGTCCATTTCGCAAGGGATATTGTAGTGTACTTTGAATTTTAGGGGGCACAAGGCTACATGAATAATCAGGCGCATTATTATTCTGAATTTTATAAACACAATTGTAGTTTTCTTCCTCTTCTTCGTTCCTCTAAAGTTTCCAAACCAACCTCTTTTAAGACAGACTAAGAATGTGTGAAAACAGGCAAACCTTTTAGAATTCCTGCAGCTTTAAAACATTCGACTTTTCCACACTTTACACAAGTATTCCCCATTCCAAACTAAAAGACAAATTGAAAGAGTTGGTATTACTTTGTTTCATTAAAAAGAATGGCGAACGTAGATACAAGTATCTTGTCTTGGGGAGGGATAAATCCTACTTTGTAAAGAATCACTCTGATTCAAACAAAAACTTCTCTGAAACTGACATTATCAAGATGCTTGATTTCTTGATTGACAACATATTTGTTACGTTTGGAGGACGTGTTTTTCAACAGACTGTCGGAATTCAAATGGGAACTAATTGTGCCCCTCTTCTTGCCGACTTGTTTCTTTATTATTATGAGGCTGACTTCATACAGGAACTTCTCAGGAAGAAAGATAAGAAGTTAGCAATATCTTTTAACTCTACGTTCCGCTATATAGATGATGTTCTCTCACTAAATAATTCAAAATTTGGTGACTATGTTGAACGAATCTATCCCATCGAACTAGAGTTAAAGGATACTACAGATACAGTTAAGTCTGCCTCATATCTTGACTTACATCTAGAAATTGACAATGAGGGTCGGTTGAAAACAAAACTTTACGACAAAAGAGATGATTTCAGCTTCCAAATTGTGAACTTTCCATTTCTATGTAGCAACATTCCAGCAGCGCCTGCATACGGTGGTAGCTGTTCTAATTTAAATGAATAACCTTTTCCGCAATTGTCACATACTTCAGTTGCATAATCAAAAATTGGTCTAATAATTACCAGATATAATTTTTCCAAATTTTGTCGGCTAAGTTGATATTTGAGTTTTTCGCAGTATATTCAGATGCTTTTTAACACTATTTAATATATTTTCAACATGGTTGTTCCATTTTGCGTCCCTTCTAAATGTAACCCCTTGATGCTTATGAGATCACACAATTGGCATTTTTTATTGTTTATAGAAAAATTAAGGTCTTGTATCTCATTATTTGAAAACATCATTATTTCTGTTTTTTCAAGATTGAAAGACATAAGCCACTTTCTTGACTATTCATCCAGCTGTCTCAGGTCACGACTAACAACTGATTGTATAAGTTCTTCGTCGTGACCCGAACAACTGAATGAAGTGTCATCTGCAAATAGTCTGCATAAAGAAGTTAAAAAAGTACCAAGAACTGATCCTTGGGGAAAACCAGCTGAAACATTGCAAAAAGAAGAGGATGATTGATTAATGATAACCTTTTGTTTTCTTTGATAAAGGTAGCTAGTGAACCAATTTCAAAAGATTTCCCTTAATGCCATATGCTTTCATTTTATGTAGTAACCCAATATGCCAAACTTTGTCATTAGCCTTCGAAAAATCACAAAAAACAAAACAGTATATTTCTTTTGTTTTTAGTGCATTTAAGATACAATCATAAATTTCTAATAAGTGATGCACTGTTGAATCTTTTGGCAAAAAACCTGATTGGTATTCATAGATAAGAACAGCATGCAATTTATCTAAAACATCCCAAAAACATTTTACACTCCAAAGAGATGATTTAATGAGTTTTATTGTCCCTCTGGTATCTTTTGCTCCTCTCTTATGCTCTTTTACTTTCCCAATGATACCAATTTTTGAGAATTTCAACCATAAATTACTGTAGTCTAAAAAAGAATAGCAAACAAACGATTCTTGCTGAAGAGGGGTTTATGAGAGAGAGTTAATTAACTAGACAGTGCATCAACGGTACAACTACCCGGTCGAAATCCAAACTGAGCACTAGTTATAAGGACATAGCTTAGCCTATCAGACCACAGTTAAAATCCCATATTGAAACTTGACGTGAACGATACGGCCAAATTACTAACTAAACTTATGCCCCCATAAATTACAGGATCAGACGAATCCCCATTTTGAAATCTGAAAGTTTTGTCAAATTTGAAGTATGTTTATTTTAGTTTGTGCTACTAACATTATTCGTTACCAATTGTACGACCTTTGAGGTTAACAGTATCAGATTGCTTTGAAAAAATTGTTACCATTTCATAAAACAATGATCATAATAGGCAATATCTTTCTCATTTTCAATAATCAACAGAAAAATAAATCAAACAAACAGCTATATTCATGATTATTTATTGATAATCCTGTCTTAGTTTTTAAAGATAACTTGTAAGTTTCAACAAGCCCTACATATTTTGTCAGCATTGAACAATCGGTTTTTAACCAATAATTAAAAAACATAGACATTCAAATCGTTATTTTGAAATACTTTACTTTAGTGCTTGTTCAGTGCTAGTTCAGATATGGATGACGTTATTTTAGTCATATTGTTGCTAATTGCTTTGGTAGACGGTAAGAACATTTATTTATTTGTTTAGAATCAACAATTATGTAATAGAATTTACAATAAATGTTATAATATGTCATTTAGTCTGTATGATTTAACTGTTTGACTGTCCCTCTGGTATCTTTCGTCCCTCTTTTAAAAGAATTTGCCTCACACTGGATGGGAACTATTTTTAATTATTGCGCATCTAAATAGATAAAAAGTCTGATTTGATCAAAACACTATCAACGTTAATGTATAACGCAAAATAATGTGTTGTTACATTCTGTCTTCGTGTTACTAGTTAAACACACGATTTTGATAACAGATGGTATTTTAAGCTTTAGTTTTGAATTTTCTCCTTTTATTGCATACCCATTCGTATATTCAATTTGACACATTTCGTTGTTTTTGTTGTATTTTGTCACTTTACTTACCTTTTTAATTGTGATTATTGACTCATTCTGTTGATAGAGGGGTTTTTTTACCTGCTGTTTATTTTTATTGATTGAATGTTGTTATTTTCAGATGTCTTAAATCTTGTTACATCCATTCCTGATACCAAGTAAAACATTACATTAATTCGTTAATTCATCACTTCATCTACAATATGATTTGGAAATGTAACTTGGAAAATACGATTCTTTATTAAACATTGACATAATGAATATATGTTTACTTAACCAAAGCCATAGAAACACAGAAAACAAATCGATTCTTCAAAACGAAACCTGATAAGTTTTTTAATGATAGAGGTCATTTGCATATTACTTAAATATAAAGGAAATAAATAGTTGTCGTTGTTTTAGCAAGAACAGATCATTAAGTTCAAATTCTATCAGACCACAGTAAAAATCCCATATTGAAACTTGACTTGAACGATACAGGCAAATTACTAACTAATTTTATGCCCTAATAGTTTACAGGATGCGACGGATCACCATTTTGAAAGCTGGAACAAATATTGTTACTGTTCGTTATTTCGGAATATAGAACGTTTTCAAAGTTTTTGTCAAATTTGAAGTATGTTTATTTTTTTTGTGTGTTCACTAACATTATTCGTTACCAATTGTACGACCTTTGAGGTTAACAGTATCAGATTGCTTTTAAACAATTGTTACCATTTCATAAAACAATGATCATAATAGGCAATATCTTTCTCATTTTCAATAATCAACAGAAAAATAAATCAAACAAACAGCTATATTGATGATTATTTATTGATAATCCTGTCTTAGTTTTAAATGATAACTTGTAAGTTTCAACAAGCCGCATTGAACAATCGGTTTTTAACCAATAATTAAAAAACATAGACATTCAAATCGTTATTTTGAAATACTTTACTTTAGTGCTTGTTCAGTGCTAGTTCAGATATGGATGACGTTATTTTAGTCATACTGTTGCTAATTGCTTTGGTAGACGGTAAGAACATTTATTTATTTGTTTAGAATCAACAATTATGTAATAGAATTTACAATAAATGTTATAATATGTCATCTAGTCTGTATGATTTAACTGTTTGACTGTCCCTCTGGTATCTTTCGTCCCTCTTTTAAAAGAATTTGCCTCACACTGGATGGGAACTATTTTTAATTATTGCGCATCTAAATAGATAAAAAGTCTACTTTTATCAAAACACTGTCAATGTTAATGTATAACGCAAAATAATGTGTTGTTACATTCTGTCTTCGTGTTACTAGTTAAACACACGATTTTGATAACAGATGGTATTTTAAGCTTTAGTTTTGAATTTTCTCCTTTTATTGCATACCCATTCGTATAATCAATTTGACATTTTTCGTTGTGTTTGTTGTATTTTGTCACTTTACTGACCTTTTGAATTGTAATTATTGACTCATTCTGTTGATAGAGGTTTTTTTGTACCTGCAGTTTATTTTTATTGATTAAATGTTGTTATTTTCAGATGTCTTAAATCTTGTTACATCCATTCCTGATATCAAGTTAAACATTAAATCGTTCATTCATCACTTCATCTACAATATCATTTTGAAATGTAACTTGGAAAATACGACTCTTTATTAAACATTGACATAATGAATATATGCTTACTTAACCAAAGCCATAGAAACACAGACAACAAATCGATTCTTCGAACGTTTTTTAATGATAGAGGTCATTTGCATATAAATTAAATATAAAGGAAATAAATAGTTGTCGTTTTTTAAGCAAAAACAGATCATTAAGTTCAAAAGGGTTTAAATGCTACAGTATATAGCATTCAAACGTTTAGTATAGGAGAGCAAATATGGATTTCGTATTATTCATATTTGTTATATTCCATTTAATCATAAATGTGAAATGTAGGTTAAATTGTACATAAAGATAATTCTATGTGAAACATATGTATTTCCATATATTATTCAAGAAAAGAAAGAAATAAAGGCAACAGTAGCATACCGCTGTTTAATAGTCATAACTCGATTAAGCGAAAACAAATCCGGTCAAAGACCAAAACCGAGGGAAACGCATCAACTACTAGAAGAAAACAACGGACAACAGAAACACTGAACTTCTACAAAAACAAACGCCAACACACATAGAAACAGACTATCTGATAACGACTGCCAAACGATTTTGCATTTTTCTTGTATTAAAGTTTTTAAATCTATACTTTCAAACTCAAAAGTGTATTTGAAAGCCGGACAATCTAGCAAGTATCTTAAGTGCTACAAATTTTATAATCTTCACTTTAATTCTTTTGAATTCCAGATTAGTATTAGCGATTTGGAAAAAAAAAATTAGAGCCGAATTCTAATTTCAAAAGTGAAAAAAAGACATTTGCTAATCAATTAATGTATCTACAAATGTAGTTTGTTTAACTTTTACCGCCGTAAAAAATATTTTAATAGATAAGATGTTACCTTCAATTTTTCTTTGTGAGATTAAAACATTGAATGATTTCGTTACCACAAATTACTTAAAACCTTTATTAATTTTTTCCGTTTTCTACAGTCAAACTTCAAAACCAAATCTGTGTATCTATGTAAGAATGGGTATAGACAGTTTGCGCTTCATTACCTATAACACGGTCGGACATTTACGCAACAAATTACTTTTTCAAATGTACTTATTTGACTTGACAATATTTTGACATCAGATATACGATCTCTTAAAAAGAAGTGATATAGATTTTTTATTATCAAACTACAACACCTAATATTTGGATACAAAATCACAGATAACAAGTATTACTCAATTTTGTTTTTCATTACAATACTTAGTTTTTCTATATACAAGTCATACAGGTATCTGAGCAGAAAAAAAAGTCTACGGATTTTTTTTGAATGAATTAACTAAGAGGGTAAACACCAGTATTAATGAACACAAGATAACAAGTCAAATGTTACTAAAAATTAATAGAAACTTAAACATTGAATACTTATCTAGTGGTATCTAAATAAAAATGTATAGGTCAATAGATCTAATCAGCTGATTATTCCTTGGGTAGTCAGTGGAGTGTACCAGGATACGTCAAGAGAATCTTGAACGCGTGATGGTTTTTGTTCTAAACAATATTTGATAAATAAAAATATAAAGATGAAAAAAAGCGAGCAAGCGAGACAAAAATAACTTTCTGGATAATAATACTAAATAATATAATACTATAAAACAATCGAGTGCACCGATTAAAAATTGACTGCCTAATGCAAATTAACAAGTACATAAACAAACTATATAACATCGTGAGTTTTCTCTCCTATACAGTCAATAATTATCATATGTATTAAGTTAATGTCTTTAATTTTACTTTGTCTATTGTAGTATTATAGATTTCAGCTTTTTTACATGTATCTTGTCTGATTGCCATATCCGTTTCACAGATGATAGCGGATATGTTCCTTATGTCGTAACTACAATCCCGTTCCCTTTTCACGTATGTGACCTACCGAATTAGTCTTATTACCGGGTTTGTACTAACATGAGCAACACGACGGGTGCTACATGTGGAGTAGGATCTGCTTACCCTTTCCGGCGCACCTGAATTCACCCCCAGTTTTTGGACGGGTTCTTGTTGCTTAGTCTTTATTTTTCGATGTTGTGTTTTATGTACTATTTTTTGTCTTTTTGTTTTTTAGCCATGGCATAGTCAGTTTATTTTCGATTTATGAGTTTTAATGTCACTCTGGTATCTTTCGCCCCTTTTCAAAAGATTCGAAATAGCTATTTTAAAGATGTTATGATGTTTTTAAAAAAAAGTCTCGATGTCTTCCAAAAAGCATAATTTAACAATTCAAAACAAATCAAGTTATATTTTAGTAAAGAGAGTCATCCGAAAATGAAAAAAAAAATTTAATTGTTACTGAAAACGGAGTTGGATCTATGGTATCGATGACACATAGAACATGTTTTTATTTATACATACTTTCAATTTGTAGCAATCAATATTTAATGATATCCTGTATTAATTTATCATCAAGCACACTTATTAATGTATTACAGGTCAGTCGTGTTTATATGGCTACTATCATTGTACAGGATATGATTGGTGTTGTCAAGATGGTTACGTTTGCACTGGGTCATCAACCTGTTTATCCGTTGGGTAAGTGCGGTAATTACATGAGATTTTGAGAGAAACTTTTTATCGTTTAAAGCGGGCATTATATGTCAAATTCATGTACAAAGATTTGACCCAAATTCTCATATTTTATCAAGGGGCCTCGGTAGCCGTTTGGTTTAACCTCTGTACCACTAGCATGCCAACACGTGCCAAGTGCACTCGACTTCAATCTTCATTTACTAGGAATATTACCAAAGCTCGATGGGTTCTCCCCGGACACACTGCTCCTCAACCAAGGAAAATAAATGAAAGATAAAAAACACCTGACCACCACGAAATAGCACATAAGGCTGAAAGTGGCGTAAAGCATCGATCACTTAATGACTCATATATTATTTATAACAAATTAAAAACAAACATCCAAATGACAAAAAGTATAAAAAAAAATAATCAACAATGCATGATCTTGCTATAATGTATCAGCATTTCGTACGTAGTTTAGACCAGACGCCACCTAAAATCCATCATGACATCTAAAGACTGTCAATTGTCATATAACCCGATATAAACATACATGTAAAAATTGATAGTGAGCACGTACAATACGATTGTTCTTGTGGTGTTTGATATCATGTTATAGGGTTACAATATATGTTAGTCGTCGTTTTACCATGTTGACATTCTTTTCTTTTAAATGAATGAGCCACCTAAAGAACACATGCGCACCCATCACGCCTGATAGGTGCATGTATACGGATTCCAATGAGTTGAATTATTATCTTGCAAGTTAAATACACAGTTATATTTTGTTAGCTTTATTTGACGAAATTGAAGAAACTAACTGTAAATTGCTTATTTCAAAAATGTAAGCTAAATTTGCAATTTCAGCAGTGGAAAATTCTAAAAAATTGATTGTTACTTGGTGCATTTTATATCCTTTGAAGTTATGTTTTATTTAATTATGCTTTTACTTGTTGAATAAGCACAACATATGAATAAACGAAAAGAATAGCAGTGGTAAACGTATCAAAGACACCTTTGTGGTATTCATACTCATATGGTCCGTTCCGTTAATAATCAAATGAGTATATTTTATATCGTCATGACCATATGCGTATGGTCAAAAAATCATATGATCATGAATATATACAAAAGTAAATTAACAAAACAATCGAACTCCAAGGGAAATTCAAAAAACGGAAAGTCTTTTATCAAATGGCAAAATTAAAAGCTTTAACACATCTAACGAATGGAAAACAACTTTCATATTCCTGACCACGTGGTACTGGCATTTCCTTATGTAGAAAATGATGTATTAAACCTGGTTTTATAGCTAGCTAAACATCTCACTTGTATGACAGTTGCTTAGAAATTCATTATATTGACAACAATGTGTGATCAAAACAAACAGACATATTCAGCAAAATTTAGTCTTAGATGCATGATCTTTTTTAATTAGTTGTTAGTGGCTTTGAACTAGCTGTCAGTAACTGCGAGTACTCTCAGATCTGTTCTTAGTGTCTTTTTGTTGTTGGGATATACAAGTACCCGGCCACGTCCACTCTGTGTTTTTGTTAGATGTATTTCTATTTGTATCCATCTGATAAGTTAAGCCTTTTTCAACTGATTTTTATAGTTTGTTCTTATGTTGTACTGTTACACCACTGTCACAGGTTAGGATGAGGGTTGGGATCCCGCCGCCACATTCTGTATGTATGTGCCTGTCCCAAGTCAGGAGCCTGTAATTCAGTGGTTGTCGTTTGTTGATGTGTTACATAATTGTTTCGGTTAATGTTTTTGTACATAAATTAGGCCGTTAGTTTTATCGTTTGAATTGTTTTACATTTGTCATTTCAGAGCCTTTTATAGCTGACTATGCGGTTTGGACTTTGCTCATTGTTGAAGGTCGTACGGTGACCACTAGGTGTTAATTTCTGTGTCATTTGGTCTCTTGTTGAGAGTTGTCTCATTGGCAATCATACCGCATCATCTTCTTTTATATAATAGGTAAAATGTAAAAAATTAGGGTACAATAGTCAACATTGTAATATAATCTTAATCACTATAAAACAAATAACTGTTTCAACAAGAACTCAAAATTGACCATAGCACAAAGGTAGGAGATATAAATACCGATCCATGTCATAAGTATATAATCAAAAATGGATGCACAGTAAAGTTAAAAATATACAAGGACAAAAAAACTTTAACACGTAATTAAGATGATAAACAATGTAAGTACCTTGGATCAATACTTCAAGACCAACATATTTATCAATGAGGTCATGGCATCTTCCAATGAACTTTTTTAGAAACAGAACGAGACGTTCCTTAACAAGACCTTGTCTCATCAACTTTCTGCTCAGACACTGGTGACATTTATAATAATGTGAGAGGTAGCTGCAACCTGGTTGATAAATATTCCGTATCAACTTCACAAATAATACACGATGGTCTTGGAGTATATATTCTAGATACTTACGTTTTTTATTATCTTGATAGCGTGTTATAGTATACTTTCATTTGTCTTTGTAATTGGTTTTTTTTACTGTTTAGTCTATTTTTGTTAATATCAATTTGACGTGGCGTGGTACTTATACATCCGGTCATTGTGTTAATGTGCTATGGTAAATTTTTGTATTCTTGTCTTTCGCTTTTGCTAATGGGATTTGTCTATATGCCTATTTGTGTTTCTTTGTTGACATATTTGTTTGTTTTTATAGTGATTAAGATCATAACACAATATGTTGACTGCTGTACCCCTATTTTTGACATGTTTACCTATTAAATAGATATAAAAAGATGTGGTATGAGTGCCAATGAGACAACTCTCCATCCAAGTCAAAATTTGTAAAAGTAAACCATTAAAAGTCAAAGTACGGTCTTGAACACGGAGCCTTGGCTCACACCGAACAGCAAGCTATAAAGGGGCCCAAAAATGAATAGTGTAAAACCATTCAAACGGGAAACCAACGGTCTAATCTATATAAACTGTCTGTTTTTTTTGTACACACATCGTTGTCAATAATGGAATTTCATTCTACTGTTATACACGTGAACGGTTTAGCTAGCTATAGACATGGTTCAATACACTATTTCTACAAAATAAAATGCCTGTACCAAGTCAGGAATAGGACTATCCATTCGTTTGTGTGTTTCAGCTTTTGATTTTATCAATTAATAAGGGAGTTTCCGTTTTGAATTTTCTTCGGAGTTCGGTATTTTTGATATTTTACTTTTGAATACCAAATGAGTTGAGAAATGTATATCCCATATGCTGGTGAAGCTAGTATATTACTACTATAGTGGGGAAAATGTATAATTTCAAAATTAAAATCGTTTTGCATGTCATAGATTCTTGTATTGAGATAACCACTTATGTCAAATTTGTGGAATAAGTCTAAAAATGAGAAAGAGGAAGCCGTGTCTGGTGTTTCTTTAATTTCTGTAGCTAGTTTCGGATGATATATTAGTGTAACTCAATCAGAAAAGTTTGGATTGTTAATGGAAATAATATCGTCAATATATCTGAATGTAATATTAAATGATCGGGCTTCTTTAATTTCTCAATTTTGATAAGTGTTTGAAGGAACTCCGAGTCATATTAAAATAAGAAGAGGTTGGCAAGGAAAGACACACACATTTCGTCCCCATAGGGATGCCGATAACTTGCTGAAATAGTCTACCATCAGATCTACGTTCAGCATTATATGTTGTCAATGAGAAACTACAGCATACTGATCACTAGTTTCTCTGTGTAGTAAACAATTGTACAACAATGAACGTCATGTTAAAAAAAACGAATGACGACGAAAAGATAAACAAGTACAAAAAATCCTACATTGAGCAATGTGAACCCAGAAAACATTGAAAAGGGGGGGGGGAGGGGGGTCTCATCTGCTCTGGAAGTGTACGCAGATCCTTTTCTACTAGTGACACTCGTCATGTTCCCTATAGTAAGTACAGATTCGATAATATATCTCATTCTGTGATGTCGCCATCGGGAAAATGAAGACATGATCTGATAACGACAATTGGTATATATGCATGGTCATATGTAACACAGACATTTCATGACGGAATTCATGATTGAAAATATAGACGCGTCAAGAGACGCTTTGCACGTCACATGTTGCCTATATTTTTTTTTAGAATTGTCAATGGTGACCAAAGTGGGCATGCAATATCATAATTCTAATGACAATCAGTATATAAATGATTTAACCCAACTGTTAGAAAGAACGGTCTGGTTAAACAAAAGACTATGATATTACTTTTGTCAGCTTCTGTGACAATACACGTCATTTGGGAGTAAGAATAAGGAGTGCGCAGAGCCAGAATGATTTGATTTGATTTGATTTGTTATTTGTTAAATAAATCTGAAACAAGGTGTCGGTACACAAGAGGTTAATATTTATAACATATTAACACAGATTCATTCGAAATATGCATGTAAATGTCGCATCTGGATTACGTTAAAGATGATACACAGAATAAAGGTGTTCACTCTAAATTAGATTTACGCACAAATAGCGTTGATGTAGCATCTCAGATGCATCGCTAACGTCTAGAGTGAAGTACATGAATTTAGAAAACATGTGTTAAATGGGTCATGTTCAACAAAAACTATGTACTGGAATTTTCCCTTATATATATATCATGTTACATGTTATAACCACATTAAACTCGTTTAAAAATGAAAACATAACTCATGCAGTAAAGTTAAATGAATAGACAAAGGAGCACACAGAAAACACAGAAAAAAGCATAAAAAGCATAGCATATGTATTAAGTCGCAAGTAACATCACTGTAAATAAAACAAATAACATTTATCCAGCCATCAAAAAAGCAAATCAGGATACAAACCAAAATATAAAAAAGCATATCACAAGGAATGCAGTAAAGATCCCGAGACAGATTTATCAAAATGCAAGCAAGGCGACAATCATTCTTAAAAGCCATCTTCAAACTGTAATGACACATTAAAGATTTGACTGACACCGAAATCCGAAATGCTACAAAAAAAGGGATTTTAGATTTA